AGAAGTTTTTTTTTATATCATAAATAGAATGCATAAAAAGCTTTCAGTCTTTACAACCACTTTAACAGCTTTAATAGCCCTCTTGTTCTGGGAGAACATCATATGACATCCTCCCACTTTAGCTGTGTATGCGCGCCCCAGCGATTGGTGGTGCATTGTGGCTATAGAACACAGCTGATGGCCAATCATGGTAAAGAGCCAATGACATAGTCTCTACCATGTGATCAGCTGTGTCCAATCACAGCTGATCACATGTAAACAGGAAATGGTTATTGTCAGTCCTCTCCTTACATTGACAGCACATTAGGAGAGGAGAGCCAATAAGTGGTATTCCTCAGAGGGGACGTCTACACTAATAATCAGAGCACTGATCATCAGTGCCTCGATTATCAGTGCAGCCCCATGAGTGCTGCCTTTCAGTGGTCATCATTGCTGCCAATCAGTGCCCATCAATGCTGCATTTCAGTACCCATCAATGCCACATATCAGTGCCCATCAGAGCTGCCTTTCAGTTTCCATTAGTGATGCCTGTCAATGCCCATAAGTGCCGCTTATCAGTGCTGTGTATCAGTACCCATCAGTGCCACCTGTCAGTGCCAATCAGTGCTGCCAATCAGTGCCCATCACTGCTGCCTATCAGTGATACCTATCAGTGCCAGTCAGTGCTGCCTATCAGTGCCCATCAGTGCTGCCTATCAGTGCCACATATCAGTGTCTGTCAGTGCTACCTTTCAGTGCCCATTAGTGATGCGTGTCAATGCCCATCAGTGCCGCCTATCAGTGCCTCCTCATCAGTGCAGTCTATCAGTACCCTTTAGTGCCACCTATCAGTGCCAATAAGTGCAACCTATCAGTGCCAGTCAGTGCTGCATATCAATACCACATATCAGTGCCCATCAATGGTGCCTGTCAGTATCCATCAGTGCCACCTATTAGTGCCATCTATCAGTGCCCATCAGCGCCACCTATCAGTGCAGCCTCATCAGTACACATCAGTGAAGGAGAAAAACTACTTATTTACAAACATTTATAACAGAAACTAAGAAAAACGTTTTTTTTTCTCTCAAAATTTTGTCTTTTTAAGTTTGTTTAGCAAAAAATAAAAAAAAAAACCCAGTGGTGATTAAATACCACCAAAATAAAGCTCTATCTGTCTAAAAAAAAAAAAGATAAAAATTTGGTTTGGGTGCAGTGTTACATGATTGAGCAATTGTCATTCAAAATGCAACAGCACTGGGCAGGAAGGGGGTGAAAGTGCCCAGTAGGCTAGTGGTTAAATAACACACGGGGCAAAATCAACAGCCACAGAAGCCAGACATGCGTATTTATCAGGAATGGGTCAATCTCATAGCTGTCTATGAAATTTGATGAGCAGAGTATTCTGAGATTTTTAGTACTATAACAGGGTCTGATTACAAACATATTCTCTTTATTATCAGGCTTAAATAAACAGGTAATGTCATGACCAAGACCAAAGTAGAGTGACCAGCAGCAACCAGATATTAATCTTACTCTTGTCCTTTGAGGAAAATATGAAAATTTATTGCTTCCCTATAATAAACTTACACAACCGAGTAACATTTTAACCGTATAATTTGTTCAGACAGGCTTTGTTATACCCCACACTATATGGCATGAATGTCCAAAAAAATTACTTCATACAGTAGAATGTATAGAAGAGGAGTGAAAACTGCATTTATTTTTCAACATACTCCCCTGCTACATTTATACACTTAGCCCAACATTTATCTAATGTCTGGAAAGCTTTGGTATAGAAAGATTTGTCATATATGCCTGAACCATCCTAGACTTCACTTCGTCATCATTGCTGAAATGCTGACCACAGAAAGAGTTGTCTCTTTCTGTGGTCAGAATTTGCAATTTTATGACAGGTTATGTGTTGAATATAAATGTTCACAGGAATGACTTCTGTGTGATGGGAACCACCAGGGCCGGGATCGTCACTGAAGGGGCGTATAGCCATCTTTGAAACATTTACACGATTCGAAAGTCTTATTGTGGCTGAGCATCTCATCACTTTACATTGCTTGAAGTCTTCTGTAGATATCCATGGGTTTTACGCCTTCATTCACAAGAAGCTTCATCACCACTTGCTGTTCCATGCATGCACTAACACTGTTGTCTGCAATCTTGAATAATGGTGTCTGGACTGGCCCAAGACATGTGTGCCGCCTATCAGTAATAGGACACACTTGCCACTTATTACTGCATGTAGTACCTCCACACTATCCCCTTTTATACCCGTAAAATTGACAACGGACTGACAACTCATGGGGCCCCGGGCAATAGGGGATCATGGGGCCCCTGTGTCCTTGCCCAAACTCAAAAAAGCCTATGAAAAAGGTACCAGGGGCATCCCATAGGGCCCCCTACTGACCCCGGGCCCTCGGGCAGTGCCCGAGTTTCCAAATGGTCAGTCCGCCCCTGATCCCGGATTGACTTGAACACCCCTCATACATTTAAAATAACTAATCCAGGAATACTGCATTTCATAATAAATATGAAAAAAATGTTTTAGACAGCTGGTTATGGAAATGTATAGCCCTATTTATGTGTTTGTGTATTACACTGCTCTATATGAGAGCACTACACATTTCAAAGACAGAAATTTTTTAGGGTGCTCATAGACTTTTATGCTGCCACAAAGCAATGACTCTGAGGTCTCACCATCATTGACGGAGTCCTTTAACACAAACATGTGGCTGAATCATACCTTTACATTTATGGAGATGGGAAACAGCAGAAGATAGTTCCAGGGACAGGATTTGTACCCTAGCTAATTGATTGATCCACCAGATAGCAGTTAAACTGACCAAGAAGGTGAGAAATCCCCCATAGACATATCAGGCTTGATTGATCTACCTTAAATGTCCAGGTTTGGATTCTGCTCTCTCAAGTCTATGAGTAGTGGAATTTTTTCTCTACAGATACTTGCCAGATCTAAACTTTGAGATTCTAAAAAGCAATATTTCTTTACCTGGTGGTTTGGGACAGTACTGAAAGTCTGTAATACTAATACTCTAACACATAAGATCCTTTCAAAACTGATAATGTAATTCCATTTTCAGCATCAAGTGTATTAAACATTTGGTCCACCCTAACCCAGTATAGCTGTTTTGGCAAGATGCTGGAAATTCAGTAACAAGTTTCTTATATCTCCCAGAAAGTCAGTTGTTAAAACCTGTCACAATCTGCCCTAGGCATTATAAATCTGTTTGTCTCCTTGTTATATTCATTTAATGTAAATGTATGATTGAGACCCCTCTGATTGCTGGATGGAAGAGTATATCTCAATGACCAGGCTGCCTATGCTACCTTAGAGATCTGCCTGTGGAGTCCGTCAGTGATGTAAAAATATTGGGCAAATAAAGAAAACCTTACCTTAGAAAAAAACTGACCTAAAATTTCAATGTTAGTTTCCTGTTGTCATTCCAACCCCCTTACTTCTGTGCTTTGAGCAACTACTCCAGAACAAGTGTACAGATAAGAAGTTTTGACTTCACTCTGACTTTCTTTATACGCTACCTTGTATCGGGTCTGAAACTCAGTACTGAATCAATGTACAGTAACTGCCGGGCAAGTAACATTTACAAAAGGATGTAAGCTATGGCTGCCCCTATACTTAGAAAAGATTTTATTTAATGCTGGGTGGACTGACATTTTAAAGTGAATATTTGATTACTTTTAGGTTAGGAATATTTTTAATAAATTAATACATATTGATTTACCACAGTTCAAATAGCAACAGTGTTTACCAGCATGCAGAAGCCAGGCAGAGAGATCCACTGCCTTCCAAACCTATCCTGTTATCAGCACTCATCAGTAGTGGCCAGCTTGCTGGAAAACATAGCTGTGTGGATATCCACAAATCATGAACTGTTGGTGGAAACTGAAGCCAAGTTTTGGGAAAACTGCCTTAAAGCGGAGTTCCAGTCACACTCTAAAAAAATAAAAGTCAGTAGGTACAAAAACTGTAGCTGCTGACTTTTAAAAAACAGTCATTCCCCTGTCCCTCAATCCCACGGTATCTTCCCTGCAGCCCATTTCACCAGTCGTCCGGTGTTGCCGGTTCCGGCATATTCAGTGTGGGCACCTGGCTGTGACAGCTTGCAGCTTCACAGCTAGGTGCCCACTGCGCATGCCTGAGTGGCTCTGAACGTTTTGACAGATCCTGTAGTCTTCTGGGACCTGCTACGTGTCCCAGAAGACTACAGGGAGGGAGGGGTTGGAGGACAACTTCTGCTTCGGATTGCCTAGGTGATTGCAGCAGAAGTGGAAGCGGGTACCTGTCAATTTCGGGTTCCAGCCCCCCCCCCAAGCTCCACAAAGGTGCCAATCCATAATGGGGAGAGGGAGACCAGTCTTTAAAGAGGAACTTGTCCCTTTGGGTGGAGCTCTGCTTTAAGTTGACCACCATCTATCAGTAGCCAACCTTAAAACTGATCTCCAGGTTTCATTAAACTTTAAATAGTTTGTTTGGACCAAGCTGGTACAAATTAACTGTTTACATCACTAACAGTTGCAGCAGCTGGGAGTGCTGCATATACTGTATAAAGTCGCAGCTATATACAGTATACAGTGCTGTTTTCCTGGCAGTGGGACGAGACCTTCCCATCCCACTCGTGGAACAAAATCAAGTCAGGCTGAGCACTGCTGAGACATTTAGAGTAAGCTTTGTAGTCTATGAATGAATACTAGACATGTGCATTTTGTTTCCTTTTGATTAGTTTTTCGGACGAAAATTTCATTTTCGGAGATTTGAATGTATACAAATCTCTGAATGGGCGTTGTAATGAATGAAAAACTAATCTAAATAAAGTTATAACAAAATTACCAAATGCATTTGTTTCAATCGGATGAGGTCACATGATGCGTAGTTTGGGCCCATGGGGAAATTAATTTAAAGTGTTGCTAAACCCACAGCAGTAAAATCAGTCTCTATATGCAGTAAAGCATGTTTGATATATTAACTCTGGAACCTAAGGGGTTAAACCTCTGCATTGTGTAAAAATGCTGTTTGATCCTAACTTCTCTGATCCTCTCCTTTTTTCAGTGTCTATCGCTCATCTCCTGATAAGACATATTCTGTGGAGACACTGCACATGCTTAATTTGGTGTGTATTGCTAGAGGTTTTTTTTTTTTTTTTTTTTGGGAGAGTGCATGTGATCAGCACAGGACCAATCAGCACTTCCCAGACAGAGGTCAGGGGTTCTACATCCTCCTAGGGAAAATTCCTCCTACAAGCTTTAACCAGTGCTCGGCTGAACACTGATAGAAGTCACAGACTGCTCTAACTGCTGATGAGAAAAGGTATTTAGCAGTTTATATTTACTAAACTAATTGCATTTCCATGTTCTGTGTGGGAGACCAGATATAGTGAATGCAGGGTCCTGGGTTTAGTAACACTTTAATTTTCGAATTTGTTCGATAATTCGGATAACTAGTGGATCCAAACTCTGTTCCATCAATTAATTCAGATGCACATGAGGCCAGTCAATATTATCCAATCAGTTCATGCCATTTCTCTTAGCGGGTTGGTCTAGTGTCCGAAAATATTGAATCTTTCCCATGTGAATCTGTTCAATTCAAAAATACATCAAATATGTAACAATCTTCCAGAAAAAATGCTAAATTTTTTTAATCCACCCGAACCAAAGAGTATATGAAATGAATGCCAAAGATACTAAATGATTTTCGAAAACAAAACAGTTCAACATAATGAATATGATGAAATGGAATTCTTCAATGAATAAATGCATTCTTCATAAAAATTTCAGGCTTGCACATGTCTAATGAATACAAAGCTTCCTCTGATTGGCTGAGGTGAAGAATCGGGCTGATGACATCATGAACTCTGCTTCAGTAAACCAGAAAAACCTGACTCACCTGACTCAATTTTGTCATGGCGAGGTCAGGGAGGTCTCATCCTGCTGATGGAACCCAGCACTGTATACCAGGGACGGACTGACCGTTTAGAAACTCGGGCACTGTCCGAGGGCCTGGGGTCAGTAAGGGGCCCCATGAGATGCCCCTGGTACCTTTTTCATAGGCTTTTTTTGAGTTTGGGCAAGGACACAGGGGCCCCATGATCCCCTATTGTCTGGGGGCCCCATGAGTTGTCAGTCCACCCCTGCTGTATACTGTAAGTAGCTGGAGCTATATAGAGTTTATTCAGTGCTCCCAGCCACTGCAACCATTAGAGAAGAAAATAGTTTGGTTGGACCAGATTGATCCAAATTAAATATTTAAAGTTAAATAAAACCTGTAGATCAGTTTTAAGGTACCCATTTCTTTCTGTTGAGAAAAGTGGAAAGATAACGTTGGACCTGTAGGTTTATTTTTCAGGTATTGTTATCTTAAGGTATTAATGTTGGTGTAAATGATCTGGTTCCTGGGCAGGATACTTCTACACCCCAAAGGATCTCCACAGTCTCCTGGGCTTCATGCTACTTTTTTGAATTGTACCCCTGACCTTTCATGGAATCAAGCGGTATCTGGACCTCTTAGCAGTGGTGTGGCGCCACAATTTCATTTCATTTTACATTACACTAGAAGCCCCACAATAATGTGGAGACCCTTTGGGGTGTAGAAGCTGAAACATACATACACTGAAACAATATAATTATTCTCCTAGAGGATGTAGATATCTTTGAACAATCAGATGCTGTTAGTAGTTATCTCCATACACTAATGCAGGCCATAGACGTGGCGTTTATCGGCCGAATGAAAAATCGGCCAATATTCACGCCGTTAGTGGGGCAATGTCGTAGGCTGATTTTTGCCATTCTTGTCGTTTCTTTTTATCGGTCATGCTGGAAAATCTACGAAAAAAACGGACATTTTTCGTAAGCATTGGTGGCAGCAACGACCGATTTTTCGTTTATCGGCTGACAATTCTACAGATAAACATCCCGTCTATGACCAGCCTAAGGGCAGTACAGCAGCTTCTGTCTTGTAGCACTAAAATAGTTGGTTTGAATCAAAACCATGACACTACCTTTATGCAATCTACGTGTTCACTCTGTGCTTATATGGGTTTGCTCCAAGTAGTCTGGTATAGGTTAATTAGCTCCTCTCTAATTTGGCCCTAGTATGTGTGGTAGGACTGAAGTATCTGTAAAGTGCTGCACAAATCTTCAGCACTATATAAATTCCTAAAATAATACAAAATGCTGGCCTAATGATAAATAATCTGAAAAATTTCAGCTAATTCAATCTCCCATTTGCCCTCTGAACTTACCTGTATACAAATAGCCATCAAAAATAGGCTCAGACAATTCTTAGTGCTTGCGTATGAATGCTTTTTAAATTACTGAATGGTAGTTCACACTTACTTTTTAAAACAAGAAGAAAATATTTTCAGGTTAATGCTATGTACTCTGTTCTGCATTCTGGTTACTTAGCCAATGTACTGTATTTCCTCAGGACACTTCTTTGGCCCTCTTCTTGGCAATTACTGAAGGCTGAATGTCATTCCTAATAACCTTGAGAACCTCTCTCTCTATCTAATTGCTGATGTCTGGCCTGAGATTGCCTGTAACATCCTCACTGTCCTTCCCAGCACCCCGTCTTGCTAGGTTGCTCAGTACTGGTGGTCTTCTTTACAACACTGATAATTAGTAGCTTGTTTAAGAAAAAAATCCTTATTAACAAGCAGCCATGTCTTTGCAATACGTCCCCTACTGCTGGCCCTATTACTGCAAGGGGATTACTAGGGGATCAGTTTGTCCAAACCTAATAAACAAATTCCTGGTGAACACCTGAATGACCAGTGTTAAGGAACTTCCTAATTAAGATATTTGGCGCTACTGCCATTTTCTTCCTTAATGAGAACAATCTCTGCTTTGTGAAAGGCTATTGAGAAAAGCACTGAGGGGTCTGATGAGCAGGAGAGATTGTGGTCAACTGCCAGAAAACTCTCATTTTCATTTAGCATAAAAAAACATCCAATGGGGAGGGGATGTCATGTGTTTCTCCTACCCGCTATGTCATTCCTATTCAAGCGATGTACACTGCAGGCTGTCATTTTTTAAATTTTACATACAACCTTTTATATATATATATATATATATATATATATATATATACACACACACACAAAATACATACATCTTAACTTAAAGAAGGGATACACTTCACTGCCTCTTTTCACAACCTCACTCCTTTTTAAGATTATACAAATTTGTAAATATTACCTCTAAAATGATAGAGGTTGTCATTGCTGAAATCCTTCTAAAAATGCTAGTTGTCTGGCTATCTTTGACCTCCATAATTTCTAAGTCACTGCTTGAAGACAAGATTAAAGGCTGGACTCCTTGTCTGCATACATGCAAACTTTTTTTTTAATACTTTGGTTTAGATAGAGCAAAGAAGTGCTTTAAAACTTTAAGGTTTTTGTTTTTTGTTTTTTTTTTTTTGTATTTTTTTTTTTTTTGAGGGGGGGTCTGTTCCTGTTCCATTAGGAAACATTCAAAGTTTCCTTCACTTCTTTTCCAGGGATGCAGCACAAAGTGTGATGAAACCTTCCTATAATTATGTTATTAGAGGACTTGTCATCTTTCTGAAATGAGTTGTCCACATGTCCCCATTAAAAGATTTTGCTTCATCTCTTGTTTTGGTGTTAATTCTAAAATTTTGGATTTCTGTTTCCTTGACAATAGTCATCAGGACAAATAGATTTTGGGAATTTTCCTAATGGAGACAAAGGCAGCAACAAAACAAAACATGCCAGAGGGTCTAATCCTTCCACAATCTAGCCAAAAGCTAAAAAAAAAAAGAAAAAAAAGAAAAAAGCGTTGCTATTACATACACTTTTAAACATGAAAAGGGGCACAGACAGCAATAAAAGCCTCTCATGGGGTTTTACCCCATTCTCTGCTGTGCCCAATAAAATGTTTTGTCTTTAGACAGTTACAATAACAACAAGGAGAAAATGTGTCTAACATCCCTGACTGACACAATTGTCACTCTATTCCATTGATAACACAGCCATGCTACCAGGACAAAGTATAAGATGTGCCTTATGTCTGATTAAAAAGGCTACTTAATTAATAATAATAAAATCTTAGTAATCAAAAGTTCCTTTATGATAAAAGTATGTTCAAAAATATTTCTAAACAAATGTTACAATATCAATTTAAATTATTTATAGAACATCAATTGCATTTAAAAAAAACTTATATAAATGCATAACCCTTTTGAATGGCAATGTTTTATATCAATATTTAATTAAATAGTATCTGAAATATTAATAAGATTACTGAAAAAGTATGACATGGTACAATTACTAACCATGTACTACTTTTAAAGACGCTTATTATAATTGATTTGAATGTTTGCTGCCCACTCTTTAGATCTCACTAGAGGAAGACTTTTCAACACTCACCTTCTCCACAGAATGATTATAAAAATATCTGCCAGCAATGGAAATCCTGATCAAGAGTATATGATCCTTAGACTGGACAGACACACGTACATTCACAGCTTTGTGCTGCTTACAAATACTGTAGCTGCTGACTTTTAATAAACACTCACCTGTTCAAGGATCCAGCGCCAGCCTCACCCGGGCCGGTTCTTCACCGGTCTTCAGGTCCCCCTTTGAGGTGAAGTTCCACTTTAAGTATATGTTTGTATTATTTTAACCTGTAATCAAAGACAATTTGCATTACCCCAATCATTGAGCCTCTGTCAGGTTTTTATTTTATTTTATTTTATTTGTGGCCTTTTTTTTTTGTCTATGCCCTAGTTATGCAGATTTATCCTCTCTATTTGTCCTGTTTACCATTATCACTGAGAGTGAAAGTGAAAGAAAATCCCAAATTTCGGGTTGTCCCCAGAACAGTAATAGAGCGGAAATCTTTGAATGGGACACTAGTTCTGGTGACAACCAGGGATTCCCTCACTTTGGAGGTATTTCCTTTCACTTCCTATTTTGGCTATAAGACAGAAATTTCCTCAATGTGACACAGATGGTAAGAAAACTGACAGGGGTTATAACCCTCCCTTAGACTATCCACAAAGGAAAAAAAAATACTTTTTGTTCTAGTTTAAGATGCAGGTGAATTACAATGTGTGCATTTATTTAAAAAAACAGGAAAAACACCAGATAAGGAACATGTAATGACCCACATAAAGCAATCATGTTCTAGTATAGGAAATTGTGGCCTTATTCTGATACAGCCACTTTAGTACAGTGATAAACCACATTACAAAAATCCTACAAATGAGAACTTCACCACTTTATCCAATGGTATAATGCACATGTCTGAGTTCTAGGCAATGACCTGTTGAAAAACCATGCATGCAACAGTTTCTGATCTGAATTCTTCACCGATATAAATAATACTGCAGGGCC